TCGACTCATGAAAGATAAAAGGAGGGGGCAATGATAAGCAAACTAATCAAAAAACCAAGCGAAAACAAAAACTAACACTAGGTAGTCCAATTAGAAAACCAAAGTAAAGACAACAACAAGTAATAATAAAAATCTAAACATACGAAAATATACTAAAGAAACTAAGCGATGTACTAAAGCTACTGTAACAAACAATGATAAAGCTCGCCTTTTTAACCTTCTACCCTAATTCTCAACCTCCACACCTTTCTATCCACTATCATGTCCTCAATAAACTGGAGCAACGTCATATCTTGCCTAATCACCTCTCCCCAATACTTCTTCGGCCTGCCTCTACCTATCCGTCGGCCCTCCAAGGCCAACCTCTCACACCTTCTCACTGGTGCATCTGTACCTCTCCTCTTTACATGCCCGATCCTAAGTCTCGCCTCCCGCATCTTGTCCTCCACAGAGGTCACACCCACCTTATCCCGGATAACTTCATTCATAATTCTGTCTAACCTGGTATGCCCTCACATCCATCTCAACATCCTTATTCCAGTCACCTTCATCTTCTAGACATGGGAGTTCTTGACTGGCCAACACTCTGCCACATACAACATAGTCGGTCTGACTACCGCTCTATAGAACTTCCCTTTGAGTTTTGGTATCACATTCTTATCACACAAGACACTGCAAGCAAGCCTCCATTTCATCCATTCCGCCCCAATATGATATGTGACATCCTCGTCAACCTCCTCATTCCCTTGAATAACTGATCCAAAATACTTGAAACTCTCTTACCTAGGGATGACTTGTGAATCAAGCCTCACGTTCTCGTCCACTACCTGAGTCGCACCATTGAACTTGCACTCCAAGTATTTTATTTTGGTCCTACTCAACTTCAAACCTTTAAACTCCAAGGTCTGTCTCCAAACCTCTAATATCTCTTTAACACCACCTCGCATCTTATCAATTAGTACAATGTCATCTGCAAATAACATGCACTACGATACCTCCCCCTGAATGCGGCGCATCAATGCATAGATCACCAGGACAAATAGAAATGGACTTAGGGTTGGCCCTTGGTTCAACCCCATCATAACTGAAAAGTATTCCAAGTCCCCTCCCACTGTCCTCACTCGAGTCTTTGTTCCATCATACATGTCCTTAATAACCCTAATGTATGCTACAGGAATACCTCTAGTGTCCAAACATCTCCACAGAACCTCACTCGACACTTTATCGTAAGCCTTCTCTAAGTCGATGAATACCAGGCGTAAATCCCTCTTCCTTTCACTATACTGCTCCATCAACCTCGTAACAAGGTGAATGTCTTCCATGGTTGAACATCCCAACATAAATCCGAATTGGTTCTCAGAAATAGACACAATCCTCCTTACCCTCAGCTCCACTACCCTCGCCCAGACTTTCATGGTATGACTTAGTAACGTGATACCCTGATAGTTGTTGTAATTTTGAATATCACCCTAGTTCTTATACAACGGGATCATCGTGCTCCATATTCATTCTTCGGTTATCTTCTTCGTCCTAAAAATAACATTAAATAACCTCGCAAGACATTCTAAGCCTGCCCTACCCACGCTCTTCCAAAATTCCACCGAAATTATATCTGGTCCGGTCTCTCTCTCCCTGCTCATCTTATGTATAGCCACCTCTACCTCTGCAATTTTTATATGCCTACAATACCCAAAGTCCCGTTGACTATCGGAATGTTCTAATTCACCCATCACAATGTTCCTATACCCTTCTTCGTTTAAGAGTTTATGGAAGAATGTCTGCCATCTCCGTTGAATAAGTGCCTCATCCAACAAAACTCTACCTTCCTCGTCCTTAATGCACTTCACTTGGTCCAGGTCATAGGCCTTCCTTTCTTGCACCTTGGCTAGCCTGTACATATTCTTATCCCCTCATTTTCCTCCAAGTGCTTTATACAAGAGTTCAAACGCGATAGTCTTAGCCACAGTAACTGCCAGTTTCGCTTCCGTCTTATCCACCTTACCGCTCCATGTACGTCCACTTCTCCTCCTCGCCCGCGCTCTCCAAAAGCTTCAAATATACCACTTTCTTGGCCTCCACTTTACCTTGGACCTCAATATTCCACCACCAGGTCCAATTTGCGGACATCAAAAGAGCCCTTCAAGACCCCCAATACTCTCTAGCAGCCTCCCTAATGTGATTCGCAGTCGCGGTCCATATACCACTCGCGTCCCCACTACTCTTCCATGCCCCCATAGCCAGCAACTTATCCCCCAACTCATGGGCTTTGTCTTTAGTCAAAGATCCACACTTGATCCTAGGTAGATCATACACAACCCTTTTTCTATGCTTCTTCCTGATCTCCAAATTCTTGACCATGAGCCTATGTTGGGTCATGCGATTTTTACTCAGGATGACCTTGCAGTTTGCATATAGACCTTTGTCAGACCTCCTGAAGAGTAGATAATCAATCTTGGTCCTGGCTACTGAACTCTGAAAACTAACCAAGTGCTCTTACTTCTTCAGGAAACTTAATTTAACTATTACCAAGTCAAATGCCTTAGCAAAATCTAGCAGCAAAGTTCATCCTTCGTTTCTAACTCCAAAACCGAAGCTGCCATGCACGTCATCGTAACCCCCCGACGTCAAGCCAATGTGACCATTGAAATCTCCTCGTATAAAGAGCTTCTCAGTGTGCGGAGTACCATGCACAACCTCATCCAACTCCTCCTAGAAGCGCCTTTTGACTTCCTCGTCCAAGCCCACTTGAGGTGCATATGCACTAATCACGTTTAANCATCCAGAGTACTAAAATTTAAACACATCTACATCTCGTGCCTTATCTCCCACCTATCTAGTCTCCTGAAGACAAGCTATATTGATCTTCCTCTTATGGAAAAACTTCGCTAACTATATAGACTTTCCTGTCAAAGTCCCTATATTTCAAGACCCAACTCTTAGCCTGGAGATACCCTTACCAATCTTATCCCCTAGCCCCCATCTCCCTTGGGGACCCCGAGGACATGACTTTACCTTACCATCAAAGGCGGACCTACACTAGGCCTTGAGGGGTCACATAAACCCGTTAACCTCGGTAAAAACCCTGTATATATATTATATGTATAGTTGTATATACTTTGGGGGGCCCTTAAATATGTTTTTGGCCCCATCATAAACGAAATTTTGCTTGGAGCAATGGTCCGCCTCTATGCGTTAGTTCTGTTCCTTTTGCTACGACTGGGGTTCGAAACCCCTTTTCTACAAATACTTTTTTTTTAGTTTCTTTCGCTTTTTATAACTGAAATAATCAATTATATACTAGTACAATAGTACTATTTATTAGTCACTAGTCAACAATTGACTAATTTATAATTTTTAATTTTACCTTTTCTCAATTTAATTATATTTTAATAGTTATACATAATAATCAATTTTATTATTTAATTCTTCTATAAAATCCTACCCCAATCAAAAGCCCCAAAACATTAAATCCCTAAACCTTTCTTCAGTTCTTCCTCAATCAAATGCAGAAGCTCCCCTCCGTCAAACTCAGTCCTCAGCCATCACTCCTCACTCCAAAATAGAGAACCATTCTTCCTCAATCTCAATTCCTATCATTACTTTAAAAGAGTAGCGGGCATCGAATCTTTGGTTAGTGTTTCTCTTACTTTGAAACTTAATTTTTATTTATAAATTGTAAGATCATGGAGAATTGAGGATGGATTTTATATGATTTTATTTAGGTTTAAATTTTTTGGTTTAAGAATCCCCAAGGCATTCTTGGTAAACCCCAAATCTATTATCCAAATAATTTTGTTTAGGTTGAGCTTCTCTGAAATTAGTAGTCTCTTACTTTTGTTGTTAAACTTTAAGACTGGCTTCTCTTTCTGTTGAAAATTTGTCAGATTCTTGTAGAGTTGTAGCATTAGTATTCAGTAAGTTTCCAATTTTTTTTACCCATAATTTCTATATTTTATTTGTCAGATTCTTGTAGAGTTTAAGTTTACCATTTTTTCTATACAAAAAAAGCAAATTAATGGGTACGATTTCTTTATTGATATTGTGTTTGTTTGTATTTTTGATAGACTCTTAAATTTATTGAACTCATTTTTTGTAGGAAGTTCTTGTTCTTGTGAATTGAGATGGACGTATTTTTGACGAAGTTTAATTCTTCTCAACTAAGTTCTAGTGTTAGAAACAATTCCTCTCATCTTATAGATGAGTTTGATGAGAAATTACTCAATCCCGACCTTGGAGAGAGAGTACCCATTGATAAATATAGTCTTAGAATACGGGATGAAGTAAGAAGATACTACATTCAAAATGGACATTGCCATCCGGTTAATCATAAATTTTCTAAAACTTTATTCGGGAATAAAATGCGTCAATTTAGTCCGGGTTGGTTTAAAGGTTCGTATTCTAGATGGTTGGAGTATAGTGTAAAGAAAGATGCAGTATTTTATTTATGTTATTATTTATTCAAAAATAATTATGTTCATGGAAGCACGGGTGACTCTTTCACAAAAACGGGCTTTAAGGCTTGGAATAAAGTTTCGGAAAGACTTGCTTTACATGTTGGTCAAGTAAATAGCCTCCACCACAAGTGTTTCAATAAGATGATAGACTTATCAAATAAATTCCAATCAATTCAAGTTGCTTTTGATAAGCAATCTGAGAAACAAAGAAATGATCAACGAATTCGTTTAAATACATCAATCGATATTGCAAGGTTTCTCTTGTATTTTGGATTATCTTTTTGAGCTCATGATGAAAGTAATTCTTCAAAAAATAAAGGCCTTTTTCTCGGAATTTTGGAATGGCTTGCAAAGAGGCTCCCTGAAGTAGATAGAGTCATATTGAAACATGCTCCAAAAAATGATATGATAACTTCGCCAAAAATTTAAAAGGACATTGTGAGTGCTTGTGCACAAGAAACCGTGAAAGCTATAATCAATGATTTGGATGGAGATTATTTCGGGATATTAGTTGATGAGTCCAAAGATATTTTACACCATGAACAAATGGCCCTTGTTTTGCGGTATGTTGACAAAAAAGACCAAGTGAACGAGCCATTTATTGGTCTTGTTCGTGTTCATGATACCTCTGCAAAGTCGTTGAAGGAAGCAATACTTTTTTTGCTTATGAAACACTCATTAAGTCTATCTAAAATACGTGGACAAGGCTATGATGGAGCTAGTAATATGCAAGGAAACATAAATGGTCTTAAAGCTTTAATTTTGCAAGAAACTCCTTCGGCACATTGCAATCATTATTTTGCTCATCAATTACAGTTGACGCTTGTAGCGATTGCTAAAAAACATAAGGAGGTGGAAACTTTCTTTGCTATAGTTTTTAATGTGTTGAATGTAATTGGAGCATCCTTTAAAAGTAGATATCAACTTCGGGATCATCATGCCGAATTATTGGAGCAATTGTTAGAGAGTGGTAAAGTTCAAAGTGGGAAAGGATTAAATCAAGAGTGAGGGCTTCAAAGGTCAGGTGACACTCGTTGGGGATCACATTGTAAAACATTAGATAACTTTGTTGTTTTATTTGCATCTAATGTTCATGTGCTTAGGGTGATTGAATATGAAGGTCAAGAGGCTAATGATAGATTGCAAGCAGAAGCTTTTTTGAGTAAAATCAATTCATTTGAATTTTTGTTCATGCTTCACTTGATGTTGAACTTATTGTTGATGTCGAACGAGCTGAGTAAAGTTTTACAGAAGAAAGAGCAAGATATTGTCAATGCCATGATATTTCTTGACCTTACAAAGGAAAGGTTGCAACAAATGAGAGATGAAGGATGGGAATCATTAATGGATGAAGTCTATTTGTTTTGTACTAAACATGATATTTTGGTGCCCAATATGGAAGAATTCTATATTCCTGGAAAGTCGAAGTATAGGCCTTCTAGTGTTACTTATTCACATCACTTACGTGTTGAGCCTTTTTATACAGTGATGGATTTGCAACTTCATGAGCTTAACAGTCGTTTTGATGTTGTTAGTGATAACTTGCTTCTTGGTATGGCTAGCTTGAATCTGGCTAATTCGTTTGCTAATTTTGATAAAGAAAGAATAATGACATTGGCCAAGTATTATCCAGATGAGTTTGGCAAATTGAAGCTTCGAGATCTTAGTCACCAGCTTGACACTTTCATATTGCACATGCAACATGGTGACCCTAGATTCTCGGATTTGAAAGGAATTTGGTGATTTGGCAAAAGCGTTGGTTGAGAAAAATCTTGTGGAGACATATTCACTTGTTTATTTTCTTGTGAAGTTGACTCTAATTTTACCTGTCGCGACTGCAATGGTAGGAAGAACATTCTCATCCATGAAGTATATCAAAGATGAATTGCGTAGTAGTATTGGTGATACATTTTTAAATGATTGTTTAATTTGTTACTTTGAAAAAGAAGTGTTTACAAATGTAAGCAATGATACTATTATTGACCATTTTCAGAGTATGAAAACGCGTCGAGTTCAAGTATAAGTGGATGATGTACTTTTGTTATATTAGTATCAATTAAAGATATTCTATAACATTTAAGTTTGTATTTTGATGTAAATTGTGCCTTCTTTAGCTCTCTTTTATGGACAACGGTAGATATTACTATTGGTATGTCAGAAATTGCTATTAAGGCCACTAAGCTTGTTTCATATGTTAAAGTTTATTCCAGTTTAGTCCATGTGTGCGCAAGGATGTGCAGGAAGTTGTTTATTTTCTTGAAATGCTTATTTTAAAATTTGTTTTCGCAGATCAATTGGGGAGTCTGATGAAATCGAAGTTAGTTTTCGCGGGCCAATGGGGGAGTCTGATGAAATCAAAGCGTAAGCTCTTCTTACTTTATTTTAGTTTTTTGCTTATCAAGTTTATATTATATAGTGGATTGTGCTGCTTATTTGCCGGTCTATTATAGAGTTTATATGTATTATTTTATTGGCTTTAGGTAATTCACTCTAATAACAATGGTTCCCCTGTCATACTCAAATCTTGAGTTCGCTTCTGCTTACCATCATTCAGTGCAGCCACTATGATCTGAGACACACTAAGCAGAGGCTACAAATACCGAGAATACAGTCCGAAACTAAAGGGCACAAAAGTAAGGAAAAACTAATGTACTAGAATGATAGTAGCAGCACTGTATGCGAAACTAAGTACCCTAGACAATGCTAAAAAGCCACAAGCAAATATAATTGATGTAAACAAATTAACCACAATTAGAGCACAACAAGGGTATATGGAAAACAGAAAGTAACCAAACAAGGACAAGGAAAAAGGTGTTAACAGGTTATACTGACAATAAAAAGTATCCAAACAAGGACGTAGAATCTGGTACAGCCGCCGGAGACAGTAGAGCCGGTGGAGGTCATCGGAGAACTGCCGGAGTCGCCGGATCGTTCGAGGGCTGACCACCAGTGCTGCAAATCTGGCCTGAAAAACTAACATTGGTGATGCACACCGGCTGACGGTAGACTGAGTCCCGTCGGAGTTCGGGCTGGCTATTTCACTATTCGCTGGAAAGATCATATGCATCTTGTGTTTTACACTAAATTAAATCACGTTAATTTATTATGGCTAAGTGCAAACTGAGGTAAAAGAAGTATATATTGATTAGAATAAATTACTCTAAACACTTGTAAAACAGATAGATACATCTTCTGTATTTTAAAATTAAACACTTATCTATATCTATCTATATCTATATTATTATAAAAGTATAAATACAATGTTGGTTTACCAAAATAATCTTAAAATATTAATTGCCTTTTATATGTCTAAAGGATAAAATTGTAATATTACTTACTATGTCATACTAATTTCACTTGGACAATGAAGTTGGAAAGAATTTGCGTGTACTTCAAATTCAACTAAAACATTACTCCTTAGAATTTATAATAAACGATAGAGTTCCAATGTCACTCAAATTCACCTTTAAAATAACACAAGTACTTGTATCAAAATAAGACATTGATAGTGGATTACAAGCAAAGATACCGAACTAAAATACTCTTCACATTAGAAGTCAAATTAGAGTATTTTTAAGCTTAAACTCCCACGGCAAATACAAAACAAGAGCTGTATTTTTATTTATTTTTATTAGGAGTTCATCGTTCCAGTATTCAATCGTGCTCTATCTAATATTAATCCCAATATTAATTAAAGCTATTAGATTTTTTTTTTTTTGAAAACATCTTATTATGAGTTTAATTGACTGATTTTTATATCCTTTGATATGTTTCTTTAATGAAAAAAAAATACTTTGAATAAATTGTAATATTTTAAAATCTATCAAAGAATTTTAAATTCAAATAAAATATTATTCCGATATTTAGCTATAATTATGAAACTAGAAACCCTAAACTAAATGTGCTTAACTTTCCCTTCGCTGTGGCAATTCTAAAACGTGCGAATTTAAGATATTTGGAAAAAGGATAGCCTTTTATTTTCTCTTTAATTTGTCGTTAAACATTTATTTTCAAGCATTAATTTATTTTTAAAAGTTCTCAAAGCAGACCAATGCATGTTAGATTAGGTTTGAGATGAAATATATATCGAAGTTTAATATTCCTTTGATTGGCTTATTTTCACAATTAAATGCTCTTATGCCATGAATTGTCTCCTAATTCAGGATTTATAGTAACTTTATATTCAGATAAAAATAAAAAGGGCATAGAATATTGTTAGCAATGTATTTTTTGTAGTGCTTGGTTAAAAAGGTTCTTAGAACATATGTACACTTAAAACTTAATTGTTTTGAATAATTTATCCGCAGTTGATACAATATACTTTTTCAAACAATTAAAATAACCATTATAATTGTGCTAAAATATAGTGAAGGTGCTAAAAGGGATAGAAAATAAAATTTAACAATTTAGCATGAAGCACTTATAGCTAAGCGCTAGTCAATCGAAATAGTTAACAAGAGCTTTGGAGATGAGGGCGGAGAACTGTAAATAGAGATTTGGTGAAAAATAATGAGATTTGGAGGTACTTTTCATCAAATGTTATAAGTAGTTCCAAAATCGATGAGGGCGGAGAACTGTAAATAGAGGTTTGGTAAAATCATACTTCTAGCATCAAATAAAAAAAGATTCAGCCAACAATATATACAAGAGCTAGAATAGATCCAGCATTCATAATGATTACGCATGAGCGTATAAGAAGAGATGATTTGGTCTCCTTTCAAAATAATTGGTTGTTAATCCCAACAATTATGGTAGTGCTAAATTTTTTAATAATTTTCATCATTAATTAAAAATATAATTTCTCCAAAATACATTATGACAACAATTATAATAACTAGCAAAAATGAATATGTCGGTCAACTAGATGAGATGTCGATTGTCAAATTATTCTATAAAAGTAAAATCCTTCTTAGTTCTGATCCGTAAAAGATGATAGTAATACATACTAAAATATTTTAACACAAAAGGACTTTTCACCACACATGTTTGTTGACATGCTATTTATATACTTATAATCTATTTAAAGGCTAAAAGCTTTTTGTCATTCCTATAGTAAAAAACTACGACAAAATACAAGTTCTTATAGTTCAATCTATAAATGAATGCACAGTGAAGTTTTCTTACCGTCTTTGTTTATATAAATAATTAAAACGTAATAGTGATAATAAAATATGCTCCTATATGGCATGAACTAGCTAAGAAAGTGATGTTTTATGAGATGTAAGTTGCATGAAATTAACAGTATTTATTATTAATCGTATCTACGGTACTGTATTTACTTTACCGTTTTATTTTTTTCATCTTTCTCTTCTTAGTTAGGTTGTTACGTGTGAAATGCGTACATAAAAACTAGTATGTAATAAAAAGTCTATACATAAGAGCAAATTTACATCATTAGTTGCAGGTTAATAGAACCTAATAGCTTTTTGAAAGATGATATTCAAACAAACATATCCAGAGAACTGCTTTTACTCAAATTATGCCATGGAAGAAACGAACTAGCAGGCTGATATATCTTCTAACATACTATCCAGTTTAACCTCTCAAAGCAAAAATACTACTCCCTCTGGTCCATTTTAATTAAATTTTTAACTTTTTTTTGTGGTCCATAATATATAATTTTTTCAGATATCAAGAAGATATTAACTTTTTTTTTCTAAAGTTGCTCTTGAAGTAAAGAATCTAGAAGCATTTGTTATATTTTCAATGAAGAAATTAAAGTTAATATGATCAATTTCATTATTAATTAATGCTAAAAATTAATATGTGTGAAAACAATCAAAAAATCAATTAAAGTGGACCGGGGGAGTATCAATATTAGTAAATTCATAAAATACTACCAAAATTAGTTAATACTCATAAAATGATACTAAATTTAGCTCTAAATTCTTTCTTATTACAAAATGACTGATTAAGCTTCCTTCTCTCACCTTCGTGCTTCTCCTACCAAATTCGCTTGAGAATAAGATTTTCAATAGGTGAACATAAAACCATGAAACCAAAAAAGATACACTAAGTGCAATGACTACATGCCAAACAATTGCAATTGGTGACATAATACTAAGAGTATGAACTGTAACGGTGCAAGTCAACTGTTAGCGACTTTTTTTTGTTTGTACGTATGATTCACCATATTTTTCAGATATCTCAAACACAAAATATCTAAATATCATTAATCTCCCAAATATGGATTCAATTGCTTTTCCATTCATACCCATTTTTATTATACAAATGAGACCAAATTCTTTTATTAAAAGCCACTAAACCTAGGTTCAACGTGAATTTAAAAGTTATAGACTTTCGAAATTGAAATTTATTTTGAGTGGGTATTTGAAATAGATTGGGTACATCTTAAGCAATTTAAATCTCAATTTTGGAATGATTTGGTGGAGATTTGAGGTGGTTTGAATTGCAATTTGAGGCTCAAAATTTGAAGTACACAAGATGAGTGTGGAAGAAGATGATATGTGTATCTCACCGTCTATCTCTCATGTGTCACTTGTGTATCTCATATGTATAAAGTGTGTATCCCTTGTGTATCCGTTGTATATCCATGTGTACCTGTATGTATGATATATGTTAGGCACAAATATTGTAGAGAAATTTTTAAACTCGATTTCAACTAGGAATTTTGACTTAAAACTAGTCCAAATCACCTCTAATCTTTCTCAAATTTTGTATATTGTCTCATCTATGTGTTTTCAGCCTCTGTTTTAAAAGGCGTTTCTGAGGCGAGCCCCGGGGCGAGGCGTATCAAAAATGCCCCGGGGCGATGGTGTGGGGCGAAAGTCTCAAGAGGCGTATGCCCCAATTTGGGGCGTACGCCCGGGCGTTCTGGGCGTACACCCGGGCGTTCGGGGCGCATTTTTTTAGTAAGGAGTAAGCCCCAGAGACTTTTTCAAATTAAAACAAAATTTGTTGAATTAGTCCTTCATATAATACTCAAATTCTCAAAAGTCAGTTTGGTAATTACTCAAAAAGTTTAAAAATGAACTCAAAAGTATTAAATTTAAAAGTAAAGACCTTTTTTATTGATTTAATCCTTAATTCATGGTTTTTCCAAATTTTTATCTTGTCCGCTAGTCTGCTAATATCTCTCCAAAAGCAACGAATGTTTAATTTTTTTTACAAATACAAAGAGAACGACATTTTTCTTCATAGCAGCAAATTCAAAGTTCAAATTGCAGGTTAATCATCCTTTTTGTTCCTCCATATAGAAAATTTTATTCTTTTAGACTCAAATTACTTGTGCTTGTAAGTAACGTATAATAGATTGTTTTGATTAGTTTTTTGTGGGGATGGAGCACACATATATATAATTTTCTTCAATTTTATGCAATTTTACCTGTTTATAAATATTAACTGTCATTATAATATTTTATAAAATATTAAAAATTAAATACCTATGGGGCTTACGCGCCGAGGCATATGTAAAACATTTCGCCTTACGCCCACGCCTTTTAAAACACTTTCAGCAAATTCTAACCATACCAATTGAAAAAAAAAATTGCCTATATTTTTGAATGTTGTATATTATTAATAACGATTTTTAAATCTAGACTAGTCCAAATCACTTCCTTTCTCTCTCAAATGTTGTATATTGCCTTGTTTATGTATTTTCAAACATACATACCCATTGAAAAAAAGTTATTTTTTTCTAGATTTTTTGAATGTTGTATATTATTGACAATTGTTTATGGCTATTTTTGCCAGCATAACTTAATGGCTATTTGTTGGTAGATATTATCTTTTTTATGGCTATTCGTATAGTTTCCTCATTAATTTTCATGCAATGAGTTCTGGGCATTAACCTGTCCATTTTGTTGGGCCTTATTCATGTGGTTAGGGAGAGGGAAATGGGCTACAGGTTCTTGGGCCTTACCGATTGGAAGGGAAATATTTGCACAAATAGGATAACTCTAAGGTGCTATTTAACTTTTGTCCCCATTTAAGGTATTTGTGCAAAAATTGTAACTTTGGTACACGTCTAGCAAGATTGACAAATTCGCCTTGTTCACAAGTTGTGACGAACATATATAACTTTAATTATTGGCTGGTATACCTTTAATACAAATTATTCACAAATTCTATAAGATTGACAAAACTTGCATATGTTATTCAAAAGTTTTTCCTTACTGGCAAGATTTCGTACACTAAATTCATTCTACCAACTAAATTTTTCATAAAATTTATCGGAAAAGGTATTCTTTCGTATTGGCAAAACTTACATGTCTTGTTCAATTGTTCCTATCTCTAATTAAATTGCTTTTTATTCTTTAATTTTTTTAAACCATTTACCGACATATTTTGAAGATTCAACAAACTGTACCATTCTTTAAACGCTTTCTCCAGATATTTATAGATAGCACAACAAATTTCTGAACAAACATCAAGTATATAAATTAGAATTGTATCTTTTCTTAACTTTTAAGCACAATCTAAGTAACATATATCTTAAAGAGATGGAGTAAAGTTTTAGAAAAAACGGACGATAAGTGGAAATGGCTGCTAGCTTCTAGCCAGCTACTTGCTAGGCTGTGCTTTGATACACAAATTCACATGATATTCACCCAAAATGCAGATGTTCATGCACACTTTCACGAATAATTATAAAAATACATGTACAATTAACTCTTTCACGAGTTTATCCAATTATAAAACTCCATAAATTAGAAAAACTCACAGATTTTAGTCGCAAAATTCTGTTAAGTCACATGCTACCTCCACTACCTTTTTCCATATTATGGTACTAAATAAGAAGTATCTCTTGCAACTTGCGCCATAAAACCCTAGTGGTAAAATATCTCATTAATGCATGGCAAGTGAACTTAGGATCATTTGTTAAAAAAGGAAAAATTAAAGATGGGTTTTTTCCCCCTTTTTCTTACCTGTAAAGGTCACACCTTAGCATGAGAAAGATAGTTTCTAAAATTAATTAGGAAGTAGCTATCCACTCATGGAACAAGAAAGTTTCTAAAATTAATTAAGAAGTAGCTATCCACTCATGTTTCATGACTTGTTCATCGCATAAGATTCATTCATCTTTTTGGAACCCTCATTATATTCTTCAAGTCAGTGAAACCTATAAATAGCATTTGAGAGATGATTGGTAAGCAAAAACACTTTCTTTCTATATATAGGAAATTTTAGCTGCAGCAGTTGGAAGAGAACACTTTCCTATCATGGTAATATGAAGTGATTTTGAGTTTCACTCACACACACACACATGTACACACAAACATGGGTGGAGCTAGGGGTTGCAAGGGTGTATCCGAACCCTATTTGCAGAAAAATTATACTGTATATACAAGGTCAAAATTATTTTTTCTGTTTATATAGTTAGATGTTAAATTGTCTTGGCTTTTTCGTGTATTTATTTCTTTATATTTTGAATCTTCTTGGTGAAAATCCTAGCTCTGTACACACAAAGAGCCGACATGCTGATCTCTCTCTCTCTCTGGACGGAGAGTCTTCTGAAGTGATTTTGTGCTTCTTCAGTGTGTTTATAGATCAATTTAGTGTCTTTGTCAAATGGATTTCTAAGTGAAAAAAGAGAAAAAGTATTTCAATGCGTGTGACCTACCTTGCATAAACTCTGCATGATGGATATACAATGTTTCTGCTTGATATATGTATATGTTTTGGCCAGAAAAAAAAAAAGAAACTTGAGCTGTTTAACAATCTTCAATGTAATTAAGTTTCTTTCATTGCATCATCTAATTAGTGCAAAATATTTTTTTTTTTTCTGTTTACTCACTATAAAGATCAAAAACATTTGATCTATCACGTAAATCATTCACTTATTCTCGAGAATACTTGCTAAAACATATATCCTCAAAGTTCAAACCCATCCGAAGTACTCATCAGTTCATTGAGCCCTTTTGCCAACAATCTTTAATTTAGAGTTACTACTTTCGGAGACTGGATGCTTAGTCAATATCTTTTTATATTATTACTACTAATTTCCAATATCAAACTGTATAATGTTTGGTTAAAATGCAATGGGTGCTTAAGCACCCAGTGACCTAAGTGTAGGTTCGCCACTGGTGTATTGTGCCAACCAACAGAGAAATGACTAGTTGAGGTCGATTTTTGACCTCAGTACGTAGAATATGCTGTCATTTTATATGAGTACGTGTCCCGATTACATCCTGCAACTATTAGATCACTTGAATTTTCTTCATGATATGTTATACAATATGTTAAAATAACACACGTAAAAATTCTTTATATTATTAGTGTATACAAGTTAAACTCTTTTGATTTGCAAATAGTTCTTGTTTTCCTTTTCTAAGAGAAAACCAATATGTTGGATTTGCAACGTTAACTGATGAATTGCAATCTTACCTTCTGATTTAGAGTGGAGAAGTTCTAAGGAAGGTGGTACCAGATGTATCACTTGAAATAGACAAAATTGAAAAAGATTTAGAGCACATTTGCAGTACAATTGATGAAGTTATGCAGGCAGAATGTGAATGCTGTGGCCTTCGAGAGGAATGCACTCAAGATTACATAGAAAGAATTAAGGATTCTTATTCAGGAAAATGGGTGTGTGGCCTTTGTTCTGAGGCTGTAAAAGAAGGACAAAAAGGGGGACCAGTAGACATTGAAGAAGCTGTGAGTTCACATAGAAACTTCTGCCAAGAATTCAATAGTTCAACTAGACTCAACCCAAAGCTCTCTTTGACAATGGCCATGAAAAATATTGCAAGAAGAAGCCATGAAAATAGGGAGAAGAAGCAATATCCTACATCAAAGATTTCAAGAAGTTCTAGTTGTGCTCCGAGAATTGACATTACAATGAAATAATAGTGGATTGCAAAGTTTATGCCTTAATTAGATATATTTAGGGTAGTAAAGTGACATGGTTATTTTTCATTGCTCATTATATGTAGTACTTGTTAATTAGAATATACTACTACTTGTTAAGATATGGAGTACTAAACATGAATGGTTTATAGGTGTTCGCTTGCAAGAACGCTTGGGCATGTTCTCCTACCATAATTTGATTCTTCTAATTGAAATTTAATTCAATTCAAAAGTTTGATACATTACCTTTAGTTTATATTATTCGTCATGAACAATGATCACCCGCAACAATTAACTTGAATTCAAACAGGGTGACTCTTGATTTTATATTTTTCTTNGTAAAACCTCTTTTTGTAATTGTAGAAGCATAGTAGCCGTATTATACAGACTTTTCTACCTAGAGGATTTGCTCACTTGGCTCGTCGTCATACTAATTCAATAAGATCTTTTGGTCTATTGTGACAAGACCACATCTGAATATTGTCGTCACTTCATAAGTCATAAGCTTTGATTAACTGTTTTTTCTTTTAAATGGCACACAACGTTACTTTACACAGGACATGAGCTTAACTTCAGGACAAAAGTAAAATATCCAAATGGACCTAACGCTTGAAACCGACTAGGTCCATTTTGTCAAGTCCGCCCAGATGAATGACCACGAAGTTAACTTAAAATTAACTATGAACGTTGTAGCTAAATCATTAATCCAAATTTATAGAGAATGTCAGGATTAGCTCAAATGCTGAAGGAGTTATTCGAATGAAATTTTATATCTCTACACTAGGTAAGATTTTAAAAAAGATATCCAATTTGAAACTTACATAAACTATAATATGCACAAACTAAAACCACAAGAGCTTGCATTATTCTTTTCAGGAAGGATATATATCCTTCTCCAATTGAAAATAATCGAATTTTTAACTTCGAAATACATCACACAAAAAAGGCTATTTTAGCTCTATGGTGAAATGAATCAAACTAAAAGAGATCTAGCTAGAAAAAACATGGTTGGGAGACAATGTAATGGTAAGTGTAACTATTCAAATGAGCAAAGATGAATTATAAGTGGAAAATACTTACCTGCGCATGATACATGCTAGAATGTGTTTATCCTAATTTAACTAATTTTAATTAAAGTACTTATGATCCTTGCTAAAGAATAATTAGCTCAGAATAGAGGGAAAGTGTTGAGATCTTGAGGATACAAATAAAACTACAAAAGTAAACCAATCTAGCTCCATACTTGGGTAATAATAGTAGGTGTAGACGAAGATAATGCGTTTTTTCAATTATATAAAGAAACCTTGACGTTTACATATATATGTCACGGCTAGATATATGAAATTGATATAGGTTGGTCCTATTCCTACAATCTTTTTTGTCCATAGGGATCATGTTAATCAAAAGACTATTAATCATCTCACATTATAAGTGCTCTACATATATATTATGGTCCCAAATTTTATCAACTCACAAATCTTTTTGCATGCATGCTAAGGGTAGCCAAGCCATAGGCTTAGCTAGCCAAGTTGGCTGTACATTGGAGGTGAGTTCTTGACTGGTTAGCACATAAGTTTCACACGTGCAATGCATCCACTTTTATATTTGTAACGTGAAAGTATTGGATCACAATCGAGTAAAAAAAGGGACCGCGTGAATTCTAATCATCCTAATATAAATCTTTCAATATCTCAAATGATGCAAAAGCTCAGTGAGATTATCACATTTTGATAAAACTAGTTTTTTGTACTCGCCTATTTTTTAGTGGGAGGAAGTTGTGGTTTTTAATTTTGGGAAATGTATTTTGAGAATAAAAAGAAATTGAGGATAATATAGTAAATATTTTTATCAAACTAAATGTGCTTGAAAAATGATAACTTTGGCTAGACCAATTTATGACTTTCGGCTGATTTTGAATTATAAGCACTTATCTTATAATGAAGAAATTAGATGTTTATCAAATGCGTAAATAAGCTCAAATGTACTTATAAGCTAATTTTATCGGCTTATAAGCTTAGCCGAACAATCGTTTAGATATATATTTGAAATATTTTCTCTTAAGCTCCTTGCCCACAGCCCAATTAACGACTGTCCTATATATAAAGTGAAACCGATGGAATACATAGTTTCAATATTTTCTGCCATTTAATCATTGTTAGGCCTCCAACTAATAATTGTCAATCAGTGGAAAAATCCTTTTATTTGGAAGCTTTAAGCCTGTATTCCATCATCGAATCTTTTGTCTAAGGTAGTCTCCCAGCTAGCATTCAAATGGAGCTCGCAGCATAGGAGTCAATAATCCTCTTTATCAAAGAAGAAGCAGAAAGAAAACTCAAAGAATTGAATAAGCAGCCAATTCCAGTGCAAATATGGACAAAGATTTGTTTAGATAAAAAGGGACTTTTCGAAGTTCACATTGACTAAAACACTAAAAAGATACAGTAGGCGTGCTTAGTGCATGCGTGCTGGTAGTCTTTCCAATGTCTACATTCCCGCCCCGTAATCGAACTCAGAATTTAAATTTTATGATTTTTAAATTTTGAGATAGCAACATCAAGTATTTATAATTGTATTTTAAATTTAATATTTATATATATTTAATAGTTTTCTCAATATAAATATCAAGTTTGGACTAAATAATTTATTGAGTTTGGCCAAACCCGTAGATAATTTCTAGCTCCGCGGCTGCCCACAACCCCCACCCACACCCCGAAAGTGTGAAGGTAAAGGTCTTCACAATTTGCACAAATTAAGAAACTACCGCTGGGAAATTTTTTTCACTATAGTATTTATATATGCTTCCTAATAATATGTAAGTGTGAACTTATACGATGTAAAGCACTTGTGACATGGTCGAAGCAACTCAATAAAAGACTACGTAATATATCGAGTGGAAAACTTGAGTTGATTATAAACTCAAAGGGGCCTAAGTTAAAGTAGGACGTTTAACTAATTCTTGTTATGCGGCAAATAAAGTAAAATTCAGTGAGATACTTGTTAAATATCATGTGAAATCAGCTATCAATTGAATTTGTAAGTTATTTCTTATGTTATGATATTTTACTGCATATATAGACATTGTTGTCCTAAATCGCACACGCAAGTATGAGCGGTCAATCAAGTAATAAAGAGTAGTAGAGTATCGTTCTCACGAGAACTTATGATTAATTATCAACTAAATCAAGCGAATTCTAATTTATCGAGTCAAGAACAATTTCAAGGTGGTTTTTGTTTGATTAATTCTACTAATGATAACTGCAAGTAAAAGAATAACTAATGAACAAGCACACTTAGCACGAAGAATTTTAATTCAACGAGAAATAATATTCCAGGGTTATGGCTGGCTAACAATCCTGTTGAATTCTTCAATCGACTCAAGTTATTAATTTTTCTGGGTTATTAACCTGCAAGGACAATAATACTTGTAAACATTTGGCAACTTCTGCTCGCCTATTCAATTTATTCTAAACCCTATATTTTTATGAGATTAGAGACAAACAGAACATATTAACAATTTCTTGCACAATTGGCTAAGCACAACAAATAGGTATATTTCTATCCGTATTCGCAAATCAATTCCCAAATGACTAGGTTCAAGATCGCGCTCTATTCAATACTTATTGCAATCAAGAATTACCTCTTTCAAATTCAACTCAAGATTCATGTATAGTATTTAACTGTTAGCTAGGCAATAAAATAATTAAACTCATGATATGAATAAACAACCCAATATAATAAATTAACTCGTCAAATCAATATTCGAATATCAACATTCATATAAAATCATAACCCCAGAATAAACGAGTTTAGCCACGCACAGTCATTGTAGCAATCTCAAATAATTTCCAAGAATACATAAAAATCAAAAAAAGAAGGGAAAAAGAAGAACTCAAGACGAATTCCACGGTCTCCAAAATCTGTGATGGTTTTTCTCCGCTTCCAAGTGTGTTAGATGACTTAAAAGAAGCATTTTTGGCTTATATATTGCGTACAAAAGTCGTGGGCCAAAGTTTTCCTTTTCCGAATCACCTTTAGGGATCGATGCTTAGATGGATGCTTCGCGTCCGTCTCAGGTTGAACTTCTCAGCATCAGATGTTGGGGTGGATGCTTCGCATCCACCCTATGTTACCTCAACTTTGCTCCACCCAGGTGCGGATGTTAATGTGCATGCCTTCTTCCGACTTTACTGCCAAGTAGGCTGTGAATTTGGATCGGATATTCAAAATCCGAACCGATTCGCTCAATTTCGGATTTCGGATTATGTTTATTAAAATTTCAAATATCCTGATCGAATTCGGATTGGTATAATTTTAACCTCATCCCATCCGAAATCCGAAATTATTAGGGCATGTATAAATACTAAACTTTAATTTCGGATAGCCAGTACTTCCTTTACATCTTCCTCCAAGTTCTTACCTTTACAATTACTAGATTTAGTTACATCGGCACCATAGTACCATCATAATTGCAGAAACGTAAAATTTTCTTGCTGTATTGCCTCTTCTACAAAGAAAATATAAGTACGAGTTTTGCAACTTAGAGACATAACAACCCGAACCTCCAGATAAATATTTTCTTAGAGATGCAATACTGATAAAAGGGATGAAAAGCAAAGAGATGTTTGTATTAGCACAGAACACAGAAGAAGCAGATAAGGCAGATGCATTAGCCGATTAGATTAGCAATAGCCTTAATAATACGTATAGTCTAATCCGAAATATTTATCTGATCCAAACTTTAAAATTCGATCCGATCCGATATTAATTCGGATCGGATTTAGATTGCATTTTGTAGAATTCGAAATGTGCTAAATCTGATCCGATCTGATCCATGCACTACCCTACTGCCAAGGGTGTGCCAAATAGCCTTTTTTCAAAGGTTGGATGTGACGCTCTCCTCCTATAGGTGGAGCATCTTTTCTTTATATTTTTGCACTCTAAATATCCTAAATCATCATACACAATTTAATTGATCAAAAAACCAATACTTAACATATGTCGGGCATTTTTAACACCAAATAGTACCAAAAAATGATTAAAACATGAAAAAAGTAATATTAAAACATATAAAAATATATCCAACATCAGGCATATTTATTTCTGCTTGTGTAGACTAATTAAA